GGGGCAGAAAAGGGGCATTTGGGGGCAAGGAAAGAGCAAAGAGGGCGTTTGGGGACAGAAGAGAGCATTTTGGGGACAGGAAAAGATGTTTTGGGGGCACAAAAGGGGTGTTTTGGGGCAAAAGGGGGCATTTGGGGCAAAAAGGGGCATTTGGGGGCAGAAAAGGGCGTTTGGGAGCAGAAAAGGGTGTTTGGGGGTCAGGGGAGAGCAAAGAGGGTGTTTGGGGACATAAGACGGCATTTTGGGGACAGGAAAGGGCTTTTCGGGGCAGGAAGGGGCATTTTGGGGGCAGAAAAGGGCATTTTGGAGTCAGGAGAGAGCAAGGGGGGTTTGGGGACAGAAGAGAGTGCTTGGGGACAGAAGAGAGTGTTTGGGAAGCAAAAAAAGAGCATTTTCAGGGCAGAAAGGGTGTTTTGGGGCAGAAAAGGGCATTTTGGGGACTGAGAAAACAGAGTGTTGGGGGCAGAAGAGGGCGATTGGGGGCAGAAAGGGGCGTTTCGGGGCAGAAACGGGGACGCACCGCGCAGCTCGGACTTGCCCACGCAGAACTCCTCGGTGAGGCCGATGCGCAGCTCTGCGGGGGCGCCCGTGTCACCGCGCCCGGGGGGGACACGGGGACCCCCTGACCGCAGGAGGCGGCTGGGGGGACACGGGGCCCCCCCGGGACCCCCCCCCGGCCCCCCCTTACCGCAGGAGCTGGGCAGGTAGCACTTGAGGCGGATCTGCCCCTCCACATCCACCTTCATGGGCGTCCCCTGCGGGGGACAAGGCGCCGTGGGGACACCCCCAAACCAGGGTGTCCCGGGGGGGGCCCAGGGGACATGGGGGGACACTGGTTCCCTTGGGGACACAAGGGGGCTGCATGGGGGGGACAGGGCCCGGGGGGTCCCCGGTGTCCCCGCTCACGTTGGCGGCGATGACGACCGTGAGTCTCTCGATGACGTCCAGGAAAATCTCGTTCTTGGCGCCCTGCGGGGGGGAGCGGGACACGGGGGTGACACAAAGGGACCCAAG